TTGGGGACATCAGGGTGACAATGGTGGCCTTGGGGACAGTGGGGCGATGGTGGCACCAGGAGGGGACACAAGGCCTTGGGGACATTGAGTGATGGTGGCCTTGGGGACACTGAGGTGATGGTGGCACCAGAAGAGGACACGAGAGCAAAGGTGACACTGAGGTGACAATGGTGGCCCTGGGGACATTGAGTGCTGGTGGCACCAGGAGGGGACACAAACCTTGGGGACATTGATTGGTGGTGGCCTTGGGGACACCGGGGTGATGGTGGCACCAGAAAGTGACACAAAGCCAAGGGTGACATTGAGGTGACAAAGACTCTGGGGACATTGAGGTGATGGTGGCACCAGGAGGGGACACAAACTTTGGGGACACCGGGGTGATGGTGGCCTTGGGGACACTGAGGCGATGGTGGCACCAGAAGAGGACACGAGAGCAACGGTGACACTGAGGTGACAGTGGTGCCCTTGGGGACATTGAGGCCATGGTGGCACCAGACACGGACACAAAGCCAAGGGTGGCACTGAGGTGACAAAGATTTTGGGGACATTGAGGTGATGGTGGCCTTGGGGACATCAGGACAATGGTGGCACCAGGAGGGGACACAAACCTTGGGGACACCAGGGTGATTGGGACCTTGGGGACACTGAGGCGATGGTGGCACCAGAAGAGGACACGAGAGCAGAGGTGACACTGAGGTGACAGTGGTGGCCCTGGGGACAGTGGGGTGATGGTGGCACCAGGAGGGGACACAAGGCCCTGGGGACATTGATTGGTGGTGGCCTTGGGGACATCGGGGTGATGGTGGCACCAGAAAGTGACACAAAGCCAAGGGTGGCATTGAGGTGACAAAGACTTTGGGGACATTGAGTGATGGTGGCCTTGGGGACATCAGGACAATGGTGGCACCAGGAGGGGACACAAACTTTGGGGACATCAGGGTGATGGTGGCCTTGGGGACACTGAGGCGATGGTGGCGCCAGAAGAGGACACGAGAGCAGAGGTGACACTGAGGTGACAGTGGTGGCCTTGGGGACATCAGGGCCATGGTGGCACCAGGAGGGGACATCAG